ATGGATGTCCAAGGTTCTCTATTTTCAGCTCACCTTCATAACTTTTGTTCTTGATGTGCTTATTTCATGTCCAATTTATCGCTGCTGTTGTTCGATAGTGTGATTTTGGAGGCTTTGTTAGCTTTGATCAATAAGACAGTGGCCGTCTGCAAATAGAAGATAATTTAGGCTTCTTGGGCTTTAGTTTGCGTCTTGTATTATTGTGTCCACATAGATTATAAAAGGAAGGGGAGATAAAACACATCCCTGTTGCACGGTACTTCAGATCTTACTTTGAACCACTGTGCATAGCCTTCTTCAGTTCGTCCTGAGCTTCTGCTGTTTGTATAGAGCTCTGACATTGTCTAATAATTGTCTTCTGGTGCCTTACTTTTCAACTGTCTTCCAGAGTTTGACATGGTTCATTCTGTCTGGATACAAAGTGAAATGGAAGGGCAGCTTAAAGAAGAGAAAAAGAATGAGGAAAATTGAAGTTAAAGGCAGTAGAATGAGAAAAGTATGAAGAAGAGAAAAGAAGAGCGAAAGATAGATAGATAGATAGATAGATAGATAGATAGATAGATAGATAGATAGATAGAGAGAGAGGGAGTTATTTGAGTGATCATACCTTATAATAAGTTACAAATTACAAAGCAAAATGACTTTAAAACTCTAGTATCGGGGCCGCTTTCAAAACCTTTGCTGCTGCGTCTGCTGCTGCTGCTACTGCTGTTATTGTTGATCCTGTTGTTGTTGTTGTTGTTGTAAGTTGGTGTTGTTGATAATGATGCTGACGGTGATGTAAACATTAACTCGACAATCAATAGAACAACGTTTAATTTACAAGTATGAGTATATAACGTTCACTTTGAAGATGGTTAAATAAATTAGATTTAAATAAATTAGATTCTGTAGCTGGCTTCGGGAGACATTTCAATTTTGAAAGAGATAATTTGATTATAAATCGGGATACCACGCGTGATCAGTATTCTATCAGTCGCGTTTTTATACCTTCTAAACTTCATCTTTTTCAACCCCCACCCCTTCTCTCACCCTCGACGTTTTTAAAAAATATTTTCATAATGATTCTTTTATTTCACTGCTTTGGAGAAACCTCAAGTGCATTCTGATCTTACTTATTTTATTCTCTATGAAGCACAGGCTTCATTAGTTTGCTCTTTTTGCTTTTCCTCAATAAACCACGTTATTTTACATTATGTTCAGCCGTGTGTCCAATTAATTCGTCTGACAAAAGAATTTCTCTTTCATTTCTGCCTTTTTATAATTTTGTTCTTTATCTTTCTTCGTTTTAGTTCTGTTCATCTTTTCTAGTTTTATTTCACTTTCCATTGTGTTTTTCAGCTTTCTTTATCCCCACTGTAACCACTTTTCTTCGTTATCTTGTATAACTCTTCCTCTTTCTCTCTCTCTCTCTTTCTCTATTTTTCTCTTTTTCACTTTCTCTTTCTATTTTATTATCTCTCTTTCGCTACCCCTGCTCTCTCTCTTTCTCCTTCTCTCGCTCTCTCTCACTCTCTTTCTCTCTCTCTCTCTCTCTCTCTCTCTCTCTCTCTCACGTATCCCCCCCCTATATGTTCCTCATTTTCTTTCTCTTTTTTTCCAATCAGTCGCCACGAACCCCCAGCACTCAATTTCCTCTCAACGTTCTGTCCGACTAGCTGAAGCCATGCCATTATCTAAATTCCAGGACATCTTTTCTTTTTTTTTTTTACAATATCCATCTCCCCCATTTCTCTTTTTCTCCGATCTGAATGCATTAGATGTGCTCATTAATGATATTATTATTCTCCACAAAAGCATGCGACCTTCGCAGATTTGTTAGACAAGACGATTTTATATGCGAACCACAAAGCCATTCTAAATAGACGGTGTAAAGAAAAAGAAAAGAAGGAAGACAACAAATCCTTTTATAATTGCTGTGGGCTTTGAGCACAGCTTGCACTGGCAGGTGTTTTCCTTGTTTTCTTTCTCTCACAGGACGTTTAAGCTGTCAGGTTATACACGACTTATTGATTTCATTACATAATGATCTAGCTTTCTAACGCTTCTATTTACATACGTCATTCGCTTTAGATGACGAATCACGCTGTATTGTGTACGTTTAACAACATTACTCTGAGGATTGCATTTCCATGAGAGCATGACAAATCACTACCTTAGAATTCCACAGTTTTATCTGACTTTGTTGAGTTACTAAAACCATGACGCGAGGAACCAGGTGTTCTATCTGCTCTGTCAAAATCGCAAGCTTATCCACATTCTTCAAAACTTGGTACTGAGCAGAGAGAACTTTGTAATTCTGGGGTAGTAAAATATCTTTGAGCCTTTGGTACTTTTTTGTTTGTTTTTTTTTGGTAAAGTGTTTTACGGCGCTCGCAACTGCATAGGATAGGTCATATGAGTGCGCGGGACACACCTAATATTTTCAGTTGGTAGGAAATTTTGAATTTTGCCCGGGTGGCGGCCGAAGCCTACTCTTATCGATTTTAGACCACCAAGGGATCTTTAACGTGCGCAACTTGCACACGGGCCCTCCGAGATTTTTCGCCCTTGTCCGAGAAGGCTAGGTGTAGATCTTTCCAACCAGAAGATCAGGGGTGTGGCAGAAAGACAGCAGTAAGGAGGAGCCAAGGAGTAGCAGTAGAAAGGCTGCAGAAAGAGTCAGGAGCCCAGAGGAGGGGGCAAAGGAGGTGAGGGGGTGGGGACAGAAAGTGGAAATGAAAGCAGACAACAGAACATTGCTAGAGAGCAGGAAAGGGGGTGAAAGGAGACAATTTTAGAGAAGAAAATGTTTTGGTCGCTACCCGGATTTTGGTACTTTGACGGCATTGACTAAATCATTAGCTGTTCGCTTCCATAGAATTACATAGATCTGTCTGACATTTTTGATTTTCGTGAGTTGACCATTAGCTTAGAACAAAATGTTCTATTTGCTGCTTCAAAATCGTAGTATTATTTTGCAGTCGTTATCAAGACATTCAAAGAATTACATGTACATTCGAAAAATTTGTCATATTGTGAAAGTCAAAATTTTTTACTTCAAATTTCACAAAAGTAAGTAATGAGTACTCAGAATTCTATTGTTGATAGGTAGATAGTCCTCTGGGAGTGAACCTTGAAAACTATAGGTTTGATATATCTCTTGAAATATAAAGTTAATGTGGGTATTTGTGCATGTAGTTAAAACAACTGTGACTGACAAAAATGAAGAAAAATTATAAGGTTTCTACCACTTAAACATTAATCTGGAATCGTTAAACTCATAATGAATCCAATTTGTCTGGAACAAACCCGTCATCTTTCATTTAGCTGCTCCTAATTTCATTAGTACTGAAGGCACAAGGACAAATTCTTATCTCGAATACTGGATGTCTGAGATGTGGCAGTGGCAAGGGCCAATGACAAGCCTGCCTTGATTTAATATCCTTTTTTTAATGCTGGATGCAGAGACTTCTAATGATGTGGCTGTTCTTTATGCGTCATCCTCTGCTGTTGCTGCTGCTGTTGCCGTTGCTGTTACTTTTTCTGGTACTACATAATAATATTCCTCCTTCTGCTATTATTGTTGTTATTGCTGCTGCTGCTTCTGCTGCTGCTGCTACTGTGACTGATGGTGATCGTGATTATAATGATAACGACAGTGGTTATGAAGAAGCCTACTTGGAGAAATGTTGAACTGTTTTATAAAAAAAAATAGTGTATTTTTATTTCTATTGATGGACCAAAAATGATTCAAGACTCCTCTTCCTTAATCTGTTTTTTTCTTTTTAGATGGTACTGAGATTGTGTGAGTGGGTGGTTGGCGTGTGCTTTGCTGTAGTTTGCTCCTTCTTTCCTATCAAACAACTATCGTCTTTATCTCTCCTCCTTCCTTTTTATGTTTTGTTACTCTCTTGTAACACCTTTAATCTTCGGCACTTATATGACCTTATTGTGTTGCAAGTACCGTAAAAGTCTTACTAAAACTAAGCTTAACAGAGATTGTGAAACTGGTGAAGTTGGTGAGAATAGAGATTAGTAGTAATAGTAGAAGTAGTAGTAGTTGTAGTAGTAGTAGTAGTAGTAGTAGTAGTAGTAGTAGTAGTAGTAGTAGTAGTAGCTGTTGTTGTTGTTGTTGTTGTTGTTGTGGTTGTAGAAGCAACCCTAATTCAATAGAACAAAACCAGCTAACGGAAACAAGTTTAAAGTCTGTTGTTGACTTGTAGTGAGCATCTATTTTGTGTCACGACGTAGTGGAATCAGGCGCTCGTCAATTCTCGGGCATATGGAGTTATTATAATATTGATATTGTCTTAAGGGTTAATTTTTTGCATCCTAATTTCGAGGAAATAAACGTCCAACTATCTGGAATCAAAATCGCGACTTTTGCGATTGAAGGAGGTGGGGTTGCCTGGTTTCGGAATAAAAATTAGCGAAAAAATGGCCCCCAAAGTTTGATGACTTATGTTGCTTAAGAGTCTTTGGAAACTGCACATTTAATTTTTTGTGTGCCCCTAATCGACGTTTTTCCAATAAAATCACGCATAAAAGTGTTTTTGAACGGACTTAGAAGATGTTCTGTCAAAAAACAAAAATTCTAAAAAATGTCCAAACTGGACGAAAAATGCCGATTTTAATATTTTGACGAGCGCCTAAATTCACCAAGATGCCACACATATTATCTCATCAGAATAGAAGACATGCTCCTGTGCTTTAGAACAGTGTCTTTAAATTCCTTTACCTTTAAATGGTAACAGGACTAATTTTGCTGATTGTGACTCGTGTTCCCCTTTTTATGCTTCTTTCGTGGTTTTGGATCTACTTCAGGTGCAGCCGACTCTTTCTAAGGTTGACACTGGATAGGCAGCAAATTTGGGGAGTAATGTGGTGGGGTGGGGTGGTGTGAAGGTGTGGGAGAAAGGAAGATAATAATAATGTTATTAATATATATAACGCTAAACACGAATATACGCCACAGCACATTCCCAAAGTTTCCAAAAACAAAACAAGCGAAAAGGAGAGTTGTTTATATAAAAAAATGTATTTATCAAAAGTTATAACATCTATACAGGAGAATACTATAATACACATTTGTCAACAAACACCATCTCAGCGTCAGCAACACAATGTACATAATAATATGTACGACTATCCAGAAACTAATGTCTGGCTACCCGTTCACAACAAAGCATCGACTATATACATGTATGTCAGTATGGCAATGACGGATGATACAAAATGCACCGCTGAAAATAAGAGACTACAAATAACAGTAAAGCATGATGATGTATTTGTGATCATATAACAGTATGCGTATTATGATTCATCTAAAACTCTCGTCAACACCAGGAACTGAGTCTTAAAACTATTTGAACTGGAGAACATCTGATATGTAAAAATTATTTTTTTGTAACGGTCTCTCAGGGTGCAACTGTTCTAATGTGAAGGACGTGATTCTAGATTGTTGTTTAACGGTAAAAAAACAAAACAAACACAAGCGACAATTGGAACTCAGGCCCGAGTTCTTTCATCATCTAATTGAATTTTCTACAATCATGTAAACAAATCTCCTACGCATTCATTCACGCTTCCAGCACGTTTCTCATTTCTTCGTTCACCATCAATCAGAATAAAACCTGTGCCGATCAGATACTGCAATTGAAACACGAAACCAAAGCTGTGAACCCGGCACTGATTATTCGCTCAGCGCGTCAACAATACGTTTCCAGTTTCTCCGTAAAGCCTCTAATGTGAACAGCTTTGTTTCTTTTCTTGTCATTTCTGTTCTCATATTTTTTTGGTTGAAAATAAACTCTCACATAAAATATGTTCAGTTGTCCTTCGTCACGTCAAAACGCAAATTGATACAGCTAATACCTTTCTCCAACCATTCGTCACGACATCATTTCGACCGTAATGCATGATTTCTGCATCATTATGCTTGCCATTTCATGTACGAAAAAGCCACACATTCATTGCTCACAAAAACTAGATTTACCAATATCATCATCCAGTAATTGAAAAACAGCCGTGAAGACACAACGGTATGGATTATTGCTGTTCTTGGAAATGTACTGATAAGTTTGGCCTTAAAACTGACTGTTTCATACTAAGCTTGCATTCCACTATTTGTACCATTGACAGATGTCATATTTTCCCTCATTGCCAAGAGAAATAATTTTCTGATAAAGGTACTTCCTTCTGCTGTGTTGAAACGTTTGATAGTTGGGCTAGGAAAGTCGATGATTTCTCGTCCCATTGCTTTATTATCCATTCGGAAAAATTAAAATTTTTGTTTTGGAACCTCACCGTATTTTTTTTTACCTTGGTGTTAAATCTGAGTGTGCATGGGTAAAATTGAGAAGTTTATGCAGTTGAAATTTTATACGAACACTAAGAATCATCGCCTCATACAGTCAATGGAATTAGATCTCTTACGCCAACAAAAACCAACGGTCTGTCAATTATTGAGCTTGTGTAACTTACAATGAATTATTTTGTGTTACAAATAGTTTAATGTATTGCAGACTCAAAGAACTGGACGTATATCGTTTGAAGGCATATCTCCCACATTCAAAATGGACCATTTGTCATTTGAAGGGGATTAAGCTGTCTGGACAACAACACGAAGTCATATTTCACATCACCGTATCAAAGGGGCATCTCTATAATATATGCTGGGGCAGAATTGAGAACAGGCCCAAATCTAAAAGCAACCAAATACACGTTATATGACAATGTTGAGTACTGCATTTCATCGTGAATTAACCTTATAGTAAATTTATGTCTGCATGCAGCGTAAAGCTGCTAAAGCATGATTTCTGTAGATAAGAAATTCCTGCAGATGCCACAAGCTAGAACAATAATATGCATTGCAACTGCAAACAGCTTGATATATCTGTTATGTGTTAAGCCAGGAATGTTTGCTATTTTAGTTTGATGAAGTTTGCATGAATCGAAGTTTATCATTATATCCAGTCACAAGTAAAGCCTTCAAGCATTTGAATATAACATTCTACGATTGTTAAAGCAACAATAAATGCTAAAACATGGCGCGGCATACGAAAAGACAAAACAGTCCCTTGTTTTCATGCAGTGACTCTGAAGATAGAGCGTGGCAACCTATGCAAAAAAAAAAAAAAAACCGCCAGGAGGTGGAGGTGAACTCTTAAACGGTTCTCAACTTTTTTATTTTAGCTTTCAATTCAAGTGCTTGAAAAAGTGAAAAGAAAATCCACAGTAATTTTGAAGCCTTTCTTATTTTCTGAACAGAGTACCGTTATAATAACATCGAAAACAACATGTGAAAAAAAATTGCATCAAATGCTCAATGGATAACTTCATAGGTACTGTGAGAGTACGGTGTCAATATTGAAACTCCAATCGCTTTTCCTGAATATATCTGAACCAGTGTCACAAGGGGCCAGGTTGATAAGTCAATGACAAGTGTAATGATCTTTATGTAAAACATTATGTTAGTTACAGACAATGCATTATGTGCTGTATTTACCGCTAATTGTTGATTGTGCAACATAATTTATGCCACGTCATTGTTTCGAAAGTCTTTGCTTTTACGTAAGAACGCAGTGAAGCTTCACTCTCGCAGCAAAACCATATTGTTCAGCTGAAGTCGCGCTGGTATAGCAAAAATATCTGAAGAGATATGCTGCAAGAAGCGATGGGTGGGTGGGTGGCGAATGAACAATGTGAGAACTGAACGTTCGACAAAACATAGGCCTTTGTCATAAAATGTTTACGTATTCACGCTCTGCGTCCTGCGTTTGGCGAGCTTGCCTTTCTTCTTTCCTTCCTGGCTGGAAGATGGCATCGATTCCCGTCGTCTTCTCACCGCGGGGCTCAGCTCGTACCGAACTTTGGACTGCCTCAGGATCTCTTTGAATATACCGACGATATTGACGTTGTCTTTAGCAGACGCCTCCACATAGCCATTGCCCCAGTCCATACACACCATGCTTTCGGCAGTTTCGGGCAATATGGCGCGCTTTTCATCCCCGACGTCTGTTTTGTTGGCCACTATGACGATAGGAGCCTCGTGGTCTGATCTCTCGTCAAGGATCTGTTGTCTCAGTGACGTTACTTCCTGGAAAATAAAAAGAAACAGAGATTTTTTATGGCTGTTGGTCGGAAATAATATGTCTGTAGTTGTTATAAATGTGATGATGATGATGTTGATGATGAGAAAGATGATAAAAAAATGACGACGCCGAAGACAATGACAACGACGATGAGGTCAAAACAAAATCGTTACTTCGTCCCAGGAGGAAAAAAAATGTGCATTTTTCTCCCAAACAACATCGATACACCATTTCTACGAGCCAATAAAAATAGCCACGGGCGAGTTATGCGGCTGGCGCGCGGGGAAGACTCCACGTAACGACCGAGCCAGAAGAGATACCATAAAGTGTCGGTGCCGTGAAGCTTCTGTTATCGCCTCTCCTGATGACCTTCCCCTCAGCGGAGCACGGACATTAACACGCCCATCATTTCCCTTGTTCGTGTGATAGTAATACAAATAACGATAACCTCCCATGGAGCTGGGGCCGAACGACAAACCCCACCTACTGCGGAACTATCACCATCGTTTACTACTGTCCTTCACACTGACCAGCATCTGGGGGGGGGTGGGGGTTGTTAGTTGCTTCGTAGTCATACGCATAAGAGTTTGAGTGCGATAAGGGAATAGTTTTCTTTTTGACTTAATGGAGTATCTTCATTTGTTCGATGGAACATACATGTTTATCCCTTCTCAGTCAAGCTGTTGTTGTTAAGGTTGTTATTGTTGTTGTAGTTGTTGTTGTGATTGTTATTGTTGTTGTTCTTGTTGATGATGTTGTTGTTGTTGTAAGTGAGTGGAGAGGGGAAATCAAGAGAAACGTAATTTTGACAATGAGAGAAAAAATTAAAAGAGAGAATGGAATTGAAAAGAATGATAGACAGATACGAAGAGAGAGAGAGAGAGAGAGAGAGAGAGAGAGAGAGAGAGAGAGAGAGAGATAGAGAGAGAGAAAGAGAGGGAGAGAGAGAGAGAGAGCCAAACCTATGGAACGATCAAATGAAATGCGAAATATCAATTACAAAAAACACTACTTTCATTCAGCTTGGAGACTTGAGCTGTGAGTAACATTCCCCCGGCTTGGGTGGTGGCGCGCATGGGTGTTCACCGCGCTCGAAGCAGGTCGTATCGATGTTTTATAACACACGCTATACGCCAGTTTCTGCCTTATTGCCAATGCTACTGCGTAATTGAAAGCCGACTCAGACCCAACGACCTCGCATTTGTGGCAGCTCTATCCCGTTATCCGACTCCTAGACCGAATAAAAGCACACGCCACTGGTTTGGAAGAAAGCTGGTACCTCAGCAATAAAATTACCCAAGTTTTTTGGTCTTATCCCCGGGGTTACACTTTGTGTATCTGGTGATTTCTATTTCTGTAAAGGCGTTAGTAAAGTGGGTTTTTTTCCCAAGTTCACGTTTTAATTTCTTCATCTATACCGGGCAAAGTTATTCTCGCATTTATTGTCAGACTTCCAATCGCGTCGTGTGTTTTTATTCAGGATATTGTGTATAATAATATAGTGGTGGTAATGTGAAAAAAATTACAAATTATGCGCATTATGTAAGAGACCAGAGCTCTAACATGGAAAACAGAACGACTTTCGTTCAAGAAAGGATAGATTCGTTATTGCGCGTACATGCACTGTTTTGTTTGAATTATATGAATATTTCTAAGAGTCATAAGTTTTATTATATTGTCATCGTTCTTAAACATTATCTCAGTTAAAAATGACGGGAACACTATAACAAACGGAACAAAGACAATGCTCTTGAAAGAGCTTTTACTCTCCATCAGACTCTCAGCATGAGAGTTGTCACTTTATTTAATGACAGAACAGCGTATCCATTAACTCGTTAATAAAAACTCTATTGAAAGTGGTTTTTTTTATTGAGTTCCGTCCTCACGTTGTTGAATAATGTCATTAACGAAGTGGTGCTTGACTCGCCGGTGCAAAATATGAAACACATTATAATTTTTGTGGCTGAGGGGTTAAAATTGGCAGTCGGTTGATGTTGGTTTTTTTTGCAACTTCGGGACAGCAGCCTATTGTGCAATTTAAATGTCATTCTCTTTGAAGATCACCTAATGAAGTACTTGTAAACTTGGAAAGGTGTTGTGTTTATTTAAAAAAATAAAAAGTGCAAGAATGTTAAGCAGATTTAAACACTGGGATCACAGAGGGAGAGGGCAAGAGAGAGAGAGAGAGAGAGAGAGAGAGAGAGAGAGAGAGAGAGAGAGAGAGAGAGAGAGAGAGAGAGAGAGAGAGAGAGAGAGAGAGAGAGAGAGAGAGAGAGAGGGAGGAGTGAGAAAGACAAAGGGAGAGATAGGGAGACAGAGGCAAAGACAGAGGCAGACGTGAACGCACACACACATACACAAGAGCGATTTCCCACCATCCTCAAGGACCAATAAATAGTCGTTTCTCTCTTCTGCAAACATTAAGCGTTGACCAAAGTAAGCCAAGTGGCATTGGGCAGGGTCGACGTCCGGACCAGTGCCATGTCGGTCAGGCCGCCAATACTCTATCTGCGTGAGGGATGGTCAGGGGCTCTCTCGCTGACACCTGTCCATGTTCGAGATTGATGCGAGTGCGTCATAACAACTTTGCCTTCCCATCTCTCTCTCTTTCTCTCTCTCTCTCTCTCTCTCTCTCTCTCTCTCTCTCTCTCTCTTTCTCTCTCTCTTTCTCTCTCTCCTACTCACTCATTCACTTTCTCTCTATCTTTGGTTCTCTCCCTCTCTCTCTCTGGCTCTGTCTCTCTGTTTTTTCCCTCTTTGTCTTTCTCTCTCTCTTATTTTCTCTATATGTCTCTTTCCTTCACTCCCTCTTTCTCATTCTCTCTTTTTTTCTCTCTCTCTCTCTCTCTCTCTCTCTCTCTCTCTCTCTCTCTCTCTCTCTCTCTCTCTCTCTCCCTCGCTCTACTACGTCTTCCCCTATCAATTTCCCTTCACTTTAGTTAACTACCACTCCATTACAGTCTTCAGTCACTGTCTCCGGCTGTCTGTCCTTCTGCCCGTCTCTCTCTCTCTCTCTCTCTCTCTCTCTCTCTCTCTCTCTCTCTCCTTCCTATTTTCGTTCACCTGCTCTCAGAATCTCTCTCCCTGATCCCCACTTCACATTTTCTATCTTTCTCGCTCAGAGTGCTAGTTTGCGCGCGCGCCTCTGTGTGTGTGTGTGTGTGTGTGTGTGTGTGTGTGTGTGTGTGTGTGTGTGTGTGTGTGTGTGTGTGTGTGAGAGAGAGAGAGATATGTAAGAGAGAGAGAGAGAGAGAGAGAGAGAGAGAGAGAGAGAGAGAGAGAGAGAGAGTTTGTGTGTGAAGCTGATTCGATGATGATGATGATATTGATGATGATGATAATAATAATAATTATAATGATGCTCGCACTGTTGAGGAAAACCCAATTTACTAGAAAAGAAAAGAAGAAGCTAGTGACTTTATATTAAAACTAACACCTCTTTTAATATCCATTCACGTTATGATGAACCAGTACCCAAAACTCTTCTGAAACCAAACACCGCCAATGGAGGTAACAGAAATCGAACGTGAAGCGGCCGGATTATGAGACATTGACTTATATAAAATAAAAAGAACGACTTTCTATGAGATGTACCATACGTTGAATGCATTAGAATAAAAGAGAGATAAAAAGGAGAGAGAGACACACACAGAGAGAGAGAGAGAGAGAGAGAGAGAGAGAGTGAGAGAGACAGAGATAGAGAGACACAGAGAGCGGGAGAGAGTGGGGGAAAGGAGGAAAGAGAGAAAGAGACAGAGGTGGGGGTGGAGGGGAAAGATAGAGACAGAGATATGAAGAAAGAGAGAGAGAGAAAGAGAGAGAGAGTGTGTGTGTGTGTGTCTCTGTGTGTGTGTGTGTGTGTGTGTGTGTGAGTGTGTGTGTGTGTGTGAGAGAGAGAGAGAGAGAGAGAGAGAGGGGAGGGGAGAGAGATAGATAGATAGATAGATAGATAGATAGATAGATAGATAGAGAGAGAGAGAGAGAGAGAGAGAGAGAGAGAGAGGGGGGGGGGATCTTTTGTGAAGATCAAATCCAAGGCAGAGTAATTTAATAATAATATTCAGAAGCAAACCCTCACCTGAAATGAGTCCTCGTTCTCCACGGAGTAGACCAGCACGAAGGCATCCCCGGTGTCTATTGCCAGTTTCCTCATGGCGGGAAAAGCGTGGGACCCGGATGTGTCAAGGATGTCCAGGGTGAGCCTGACACCGTTCATGTCGTACTCGCCACGATGTAACTCTTCTATTGTCTCTCTGTGAAGCAAAGTTTCCCACAGTTAACATTTGCATAGGCCCAGTCTCTAAAACAGAGCATTGGTAACTTTTTTAAAAATAAAACAATGTTTCTGTCTTATGATATATATTATGTAGGCGTAATTTATTTTTCTGAGTTAATGAGCAAACATTTAACTCCGAAATGGTCTATTCGCTGATGAAAAAACGTGAAACTAGATCAGCAACAAAAAAAACCCCAACAGTAACCCACAGTGAGTGTAACTAACATAGTGACATCCGCATGACAAGTGCTACATGTGGTGCCGGGACATATCTCGTGAAAAATGTTTTATTTTTTCCGTGAATGCCATGCCAAAGAACTTCCACAGAAACATATTTTACAATTAAAAAATATAATGTTGAAAATATTTGACTGTAATTAATGACTTTTTGTTGTTTTTGTTTTAGACTATGGGATTAACATAGTTCCAACACTGACGAAACAAGAGTTTTAGTTTGAAATTCTGAAAGACCAATATTGGCAAATAACAAGTCAGCTGGGAGAAAAGAGAATATGTAGGACTTAATGCTTAAAGGGTAGATTCTACTCAAAGGAATAAGCAGAACTGTAATCCCTGTTTTGCATCAGTTTGATATCTTTATAAAATCGCTACACCCCGTCCCTCATTCAAGAAAAAAGACTTTTGAAGAAGACTAGAGTTATTTTCCTGTTGTTTTTTAAAATTTGCATTTGTCTGCAGTGCAAAATTGAACGTCAACCACGCACACTACAATATCTTTAGAATGTCCTTAAAAGCATTTGACGCAACACTTTTGTTGTGCAAAAAAGTATTCATTTTTTCAGCAAAAACAATTAAAGTTTGCAGCAAAATAACACCCACGCATTTTGCAATAACCATGTAGCTCGAGAAAAGACACTGCAGAATGCTAATGTGATTTTTTTCTCTTAAAAATGCGTGGGTGTGCACACTTCGTTACTACTATGCTCTTTACTGAATGGAGAAAGAAATACTATTTGCAATCACAAAGCTTGTTTTCTGACGCCAAAACCTATTAGCACGAAAGAAATATTCTAAAGGTTAAAAAGCGATATCCTGGCAAGAATAGAACCTAGCAAATGAGATTGTACTTGGCTTCAAAAAGAGAAAAGGAGAGACCATTCATCATCACCAAGTGGGCGGGCAGGAATATCTAAAACGGAAAGCAATCTAATGCACTGAAAAATCAACAACCAATGTCCTCTCTATGGAACATGTTTCCGTTTGAGGGAGGTACGTTCTAAAATACTCGCCATGTAGTAGGTGGAGGGCGGCGGGGGGCGG